GTGTAGTGTTTTCATATACAATTTGAAATATTTTCATCAAACTGGTTAACATAGACTTTGTGTCATTTACTTAGTTATTGTGTTAAAACATTTATACTCTAGTTCTAGAAAAATTCACTTGTACCCTTGTTAGACAGACCATATAGGTGATCTTTCTAGTCATCCTCCCTCCACCCATCTGCCCTTCTCCCCTCCTCTGCCCCACCCCCTCCCCATATTCTTGGGCTAGAATAGGTAAGTCATTTTTAAAATCTGAAAAAATAATGTGTCCTTGTCAAGAAACTTGTATTATGTAAGTACTTATTTTGGTGTGGAATTGATTATAGACTACGTTTCATTATGATAAGTTGGTATTCATCATGGCTAAAGGCTAGTTACAGTTGCTGTGCTTTATTTAAAAAAAATAGGTCTTAATACTTTCTATTTTGTCAGTTGTTGCTTTTAAGTCTGAAATATGCATCATAGTTAAACTCTACTAGGTCAGTATTCTCTATTTATATTGGGAGAGTCTCTGTCTCCCAGATTTCCATTTAAACTTGGTTTTATAAGCTGACCATCCGCATGCATAGAGTTTTGAGCAGTGTTTCTCAGATTTGAATTATATTGAATGTGTTTCTCAGATTTGAATGTGAAGGCCTAGGACCTTCTTATATAGTACAGTAGACTTTATAAACAGTATAAACTTAGGATATACAGACTTTGTAAAACAAAACAAAACTTTTTTTTTTTTTGGGTAGAGACATTGTTTCACTTTATTGCCCTCAGTAGAGTGTCATGGTATCACAGAGCTCACAGCAACCTCCAACTCCTGGGCTTAAGCAATTCTCTTGCCTCAGCCTCCCGAGTAGCTGGGACTACAGGCGCCTGCCAGAATGCCCTGCTTTTTTTGTTGTTGTTGCAGTTTGGCCAGGGCCAGGTTTGAACCTCCCACCCTCGGTATATGGGGCTGGCGCCGCCCTGTTCTCAAACCGTTGAGCTTTGGTGATCTGCCCACCTTGGCCTCCCATAGTGCTAGGATAACAGGTGTGAGCCGCCTTGCCTGGCCCACTCTGTTTTCTTCTAAGAGTTTTATAGGCTTAGGTATTACATTTAGGCCTTTGATTCATTTTGAGCTAATTTTCTTTTTTTAGGGTAGAGACAGAGTTTCACTTTATCACCTTCAGTAGAGTGCCATGGTGTCACACTGCTAACAGCAAACCTCCAACTCCTGGGCTTAGGCGACTCTCTTGCCTCAGCCTCCCCAGTAGCGGGGTCTACAGGTGCCTGCCACAAAGCTTGGCTATTTTCTTGCTGCAGTTCAGCCGGGGTCGGCTTTGAACCTGCCACCCTTGGCATATGGGACTGACACCCTACCCACTGAGCCACAGGCACTGCCCCATATTGAGCTAATTTTTGTGTATGGTGTTAGTTAATGTCCAGCTTCATTCTTTTGCATGTGGTTACGGTTTTCCCAGGACCATTTCTTGAAAAGTGTTCTTTCTCCATCAAATGTTGTAGGTACTCATTCAAAAATCATTTCACTTTGGCTTGGCGCTGGTAGCTTAAGTGGCTAGGGAGCCAGCCACATACCCCAAAGCTGGCAGGTTCGAATCCAGCCCAGGCCTGCCAAACAACGACAACTACAACCAAAAAAATAGCTGGGCATTGCAGCGGGCGCCTGTAGTTCCAGCTGCTTGGGAGGCTGAGGCCGGAGAATCACTTGAGCCCAAGAGTTTGAGGTTGCTATGAACTGTGAAGCCACAGCACTCTACCCAGGATGACAACTTGAAACTCTTGTCTCAAAAAAAAAAAAAAATCATTTCACTTTGGGTGCAAGCGTTTATTTCTGGGCTATCTTTTCTGTTCCATTATTCTCTGTCTTCATGCCAGTTACACACTGTTTTTATTATTGTAGTTTTTTTTTTTTCGTTTTGGCTGGGGCTGGGTTTGAACCCACCACCTCCAGCTTACGCCTTTGAGCCACAGGCGCCACCCCTATTATTGTAGATTTAAAGTGAGTTCTTCATCTTTGCTGTTCTTGAGATTGTTCTGGCTATTCCTGAATTTAATCTACTGAGATCCAATGTGAATTTTAGGATGGGTTTTTGACATCTTAACAGTATTAACTCCTCTAATCCGTGGAATTGGGTGTGTTTCCATTTGTTAAAGTTAGCCTTATAAGTCTAAATGTTTTGTTCTAGATTGCTCGCTGTAAGCAGCTCATCTGTGACCCCAGCTACGTAAAAGATAGGGTAGAAAAGGTGGGCCAGGTGATCAGAGTTATCTGCATCCTCAGCCACCCCATCAAGAACACCAATGATGCCAACTCCTGCCAGATCATTATTCCGCAGAACCAGGTCAATCGAAAGTCAGGTGAGTTTTCGAGCAGATGATGGGGACTTTCCTTTGTGTTTTATCCCAAATTCTGAATTTTACGTTATAATACAGCGAGGAGACTTTAGTTTACATACAGGAAACAAACGTTGTCCTATCAGCTCCTTCTACCTCTGCAGCACTGTGCTGGAATGAACCGGTGAGAGGTGGCCTGCCCTGAACTCAGTCTGAGTGGGATGGGTGGACGGGACTAGGTGAACAGTGAGTCTTCCAGTGTGAACTCACTTCACTGCCTGTGGAAGTTTAAGGTTAATAGTTGAACTAACTACACTGTACTTTCAAGCTGGTGACACAGCTTATATAATACTTATTTTGATTCCTGCAGTGTGGTAGAAAACAGCTTTCATTTCTGTGGCTCTAAAATTGCAATTCTTAATTTGCTTTAACAAGTTCTTTCAACCACTAGTTATTTCTTTCAACTAGAAGCCTTAAATCTACTTATCTAAAATTCAACTTAAAAGGGGTCATCAGGTTTTAATGGGACAGGTAGAAGCTACTGTCATCATTGATTTTTTTTTCACAAAAGAAATCAAATCACAAAGGAGTATCCCTATAACAAAGGGGGACTTGGACTTACTCTTTCGTGGGATCCCCAGTAGGTCGTGGGTCTGTGGAAGTCACACAGCCTCTCGGAAGAGTGGTGCACAGCCCAGTCTAACCTCAGTTTTATCAGTTTATTATGCTAACTCCAAATTGTTTATGTGGATCCTGCTATTTATATTACTTTTAATAAAGGAGGAAATTATCACTGAATAATTTCTTAGCTATTCAGAACTTTTCCAAATGGAAATGGACCAGTAGAAGAAAACCCAAAGTAGTTATTATGATCAGCCAGGTTTCCAGTTAGCTGTGATGGGAGGGAAGAGATCCCTTGTCAGAATTCAGCAATTTGGTGCTACCTAAATTCTTAGCCTCTAATAGGTTAAAAGAAATTCCTGTAATTGGACATGTTTTGTAATTTACATGAGCCTGTCTGCCTCCACTGAGAAAAGCTTAGGAGACTTTGCTTTTTCAGAGGAACTTTAATTTACACCTCAGTGATGTTGGTGTCCCAGCACTGCTCAGTATGGTGACCTGACGCTTGTTCCTAGATATCTACGTCTGCATGATTTCCTCTGCACACAACGTGGCGGCACAAGGGAAGTACATCGCCATAGTCAGCACAACCGTGGAGACCAAGGAGCCTGAGAAGGAAATCAAACCGGCTTTGGAGCTCTTAGAACCAATTGAACAGAAGTGAGTGAAAAACTAAAACCCAAGTTGAGGGCTTTGATTGTGGCCCCTGGTGGGGTGAGTGTGAGAAGGTGGCAGGTGTCTGGTGAGCATCTCACCGTCTCCTCTCTACCAGTCTTATCCTCTGGTAGTGCTCTGGTTGGGTGTGGGCCTTCTTCACCTACTGTCTCACTTCTCTTCCTCTCTAGGTTTGTCAGCATCAGTGACCTCCTTGTACCGAAAGACTTGGGAACAGAAAGTCAGGTGGGTGTGCAGCTGCAGGGAGGGTGTGGCCAGGGGAGACACCTTCAAATAGTTTTAAGTCTTTATGATTTTCATTTCCAGATCTTTATTTCCCGCACATATGATGCTACAACTCACTTTGAGACAACCTGTGATGACATTAAAGACATCTATAAGAGGATGACAGGATCAGAGTTTGACTTTGAGGAAATGAAGCGCAAGAAAAATGACATCTACGGGGAGGACTAACAGCAGCATATGCTGTGATCTCTTTAGGACAGATTTAAAATTTGGCAAATAACGCGTTATATAAAACTCAGTCTTGTAAGGCCTGCTTTTGTAATCAGAATGGAGAGATTGAAGAGCTCTGTGCCAGTGAATACTCCTCCCCTCCACCTTTGTAATATCATGTATTAACTCGTTTTCGTGCAGTGGCTATTCAGAATTGGCAGGTTACCACATTCTGTTCAATTTAACCAAATTGGCTTTTTTTTTCTAGTGAAGGATCAGTTTTAAACAAACATTGCGATACTGATACAGAGAATTTTGAGACAGTATTTGTGTCTTTTAATCAGTGTAGTCTTTGCAATTATGTGCCTCTGCTCTCAGGAGCTGGCTCCATATAATTTGTGTGCCATCTGTCCTGTTGACATCAAGAAGATTCTAAATTGAATATTCCATGGTTTGGGGTGGCATCCATAAGTTCTCCCTTTAAGTTTATGTTTTGTGTTATGTCAAGTATTATGGCAGGGCCCAAATAGCATAGCCACAGTTTGGGTTGTATGGGCATAAGATCTTAACCAAACTCCAGAATTAGGGCCTTGGTCATTTGGAGGAAGCCCGTAGGTGATGTTTTAACCTAATAAAATTGATGAGAGAAGGGTGAGGAACCCATCATAAAGCAGGTAAAATCTGCATGCATCTTCTGTGTGCCAGGCGTGGCTTTTGCAGAAGACCAAGCTGCAATGCAGTGCTGACTTGAACAGAGCCCCCTGCTCCCGTCTCAGTGGCCCCGAATGATTTCTGTGCTTCGAAATAAAGCCAGATGCTGGGAACCAGTGCTCTGTGCGGTCTGTGGTGTCCTGACTATAATGGCCAAGCTGCCACGTGTTTAACTCAGCAAGGAGCTGAAAGCAGTGCCAGGTGTGGGGTATTGGTCACAAGGTGTGCTCAGGCACCAGGCATATGGACGGCTCCAGGGCAGAGTCCCTGCTGTCTGGCTTCCCTTTGGGTAGACCTCAAATTTCTTGACACAATGTAACTACTGGACTCTTTGATAATTTCAGTACTGATTTAGAACAAGTATTGTTTACTACACAAATAGTTACTGCCTTTAATAATTTTGCTTATAAGGCTGGTGTGGTGGCTCATGCCTATTCTAATCCTAGCACTCTGGGAGGCTAAGGTAGGTGAATTGCCTGAGCTCACAGATTTGAGACCAGCCTAAGCCAGAGAGAGACCCCGCCTCCAAAGAAATAGCCAGGTGTGATGAGTGCCTGTAGTCCCAGCTATTCAGGAGGCTGAGACAATAGGATCACTTGAGCCCAAGAGTTTGAGCTTGCTGTAAGCTGACATCATGCACTCTATTGAGAGCAACAAAGTGAAATTCTGTCTCAAAAAAGTTTTTGTTTGTAGCAGCAATTAAAGAGTACATAAATTCCAAGAGGTATACTGACTTAATAGTGCCCTTGTAATTTTTTTTTTTTTTTTTTGAGATAGTCTCACTCTGTTGCCCAAATGTTAGCCTAGCTCACAGCAACCTCCAACTCTTGGGCTCAAATGGTCCTCCTGCCTTAGTCTCCCTCAGTGCAAGGGTTATAGGCATGAATGATTGCTCCTACTATCTTCAAAATGTTAAGGGGTTACAAATGTTTTTCTTGTAAGTGTAGCTTTTGTAATGATTAGGTCAGGGCCGTTAGTGTGCCCATCACCTGAGTATTGTACATGATAGGTGGTTCTGCTCCCATTTCTTTTTTTGAGATGGAGCCTCAAGCTGTTGCCTTGGGTAGAGCACCATAGAATCAAAGCTCACAGCAACCTCCAACTCTTGGGCTTCAGTGATTCTCTTGCCTTAGCTTCCCAAGTAGCTGGGACCACAGCTGCCCGCCAATTTTTTGGTTGCAGCCGTCACTGTTGTTTGAAGGCCCGCGCTGGATTCAGACCCGCTAGCTCAGGTGTATGTGGCTGGCACCTTAGCCACTTGTGCCATCGGCGCCTAGCCTCTGCTCCAATTTCTAATGGCTGTGTACCACCTGTTCCCATCATTTAGCTCCCACTTAATAGAATGGATGTGTCTTTCCATTCCTGAGATAGTTCACTTAGGATAATGGTCTCCAGTTCTGTCCAAGGTGTTGCAAATGACTAATTCATTCCATTTTATAGCTGAATAGTACTCCATGACACATACATTACATTTTATTAATCCACTCATGAATTGATTGGCACTTATCACATCTTATGAATTATGCTTCTATAATTTGGGTACAGGTGTCTTTGATAAAATAGCTTGTTTTTCTTTGGGTAGATATCACCTCATAGTGGGGTTCCTGGGTCAAATGGGAAGTCTGCATTTATTTATTTGAGGAATCTCAGTACTGGTTTCCATAGAGGTGGTACTAATTTGCAGTCCCACTAACAGTGTGCTTTAAGCATTCCTTTCTGTGTCCATGCCAACATTTATGATTGCTTGATTTTTTAAAATGAGGGTAATGTGATTATCATTTCTCTGATTAGGATGACCAACATTCATGTTTGCTGCCCATTTGTCGTAACTTGTTTTTTTTGAGACAGAGTCACTTTTTATCATCCTCCGTAGAGTGCTATGGGTGCCTCAAACTCTTGGGTTTAAGCAATCCTCTTGCCTCAGCTTCCCTAATAGCTAAGACAGGTACTCTCAAACTTCTGAGCTCAGGTGATCCACCTGTGTTGGCCTCCCAGAGTCGTGGGATTACAGGCTTGAGCCACTGTGCCCAGCCTGTTTTACCCTCTTTTGAAAAACCCCTATTTCAGGAGGTGCCTGTGGCTTAGTGAGTAGGATGCCAGCCCCATATACCAATGGGTGGCAGTTTCGAACCCAGCCCCGCTCAAACTGCAACAACAAAAAATAGCCAGGCATTGTGGCGGGTGCCTGTAGTCTCAGCTACTCAGGAGGCTGAGGCAAGAGAATCACCTAAGCCCAAGAGCTGGAGGTTGCTGTGAGCTATGTATGATACCACAGCACTCTACCAAGGGCGATAAAGTGATACTCTGTCTCTTAAAAAAAAGAAAAACCTATTTGTGTCTTTTGCCTTTTTTTTGGAGACAGAGCCTCAAGCTATCACCCTGGGTAGAGTGCTATGGCGTTACAGCTACTGCAACCTCCAATTCCTGGGCTTAAGTGATTCTCTTGCCTCAGGCTCCCAAGTAGCTGGGACTACAGGTACCTGCCACACCTCCCAACTATTTTTTGGTTGTAGTTATCATTATTTGGCAGACCCAGGCTGGATTCGAACCCATCAGCTCTGGTGTATGTGGCTGGCGCCTTAGCCGCTTGAGCTACAGGTACCACCATTTTGCCTGTTTTTTTAATGAAATTATTTTTTCTTGATTTCTTTAACCCTTAATTAAAAACGTTTGTTGATACTTTCTTATATTCTGTAGGTTGTCTACTCTGTTATTTCCTTTGCTGTGCAGATTTTTTAATCATTTATTTTTGTTCTTACAATTGCCTTTGGGGTCTTCGTCATAAGTTCTTTGCCTAGGCTGAGGTCTTAGTTTTCCTACATTGTCTTCTAGAATTTTTATGGCTATATGCCTTACAGATCTTTTATCCTTTTGTATCTGGTGAGATAGAGGCTGTTTTTTTGAGACAGCCTCATTCTGTCACCCTGGGTGGCGTGCCATAGCATCATAGCTCACAGCAACCTCAAACTCTTGGGCTCAAGTGATCTTGCCTTAGCCTCCTGAGTAACTGGGACTAAAAGTGTCTGTCACAAACCTGGCTAGTTTTTTGATTTTTTTTCTTTTTTTAGTAGAGATGGGGTCTTTCTCAGGTTGGTCTTGATCTCCTGAGCTCAAGCAGTCCACCTGCTTTGGCCTCCCAGAGTGCTAGAATTATAGGCATGAGCCACTGCATTCGGCCTTGTTTCATTCTTCTCCATGTGGCTTTCCAGTTTTCCCAGCATCATTTATTGAATAGGAATTCCCTTCCCCAGTGTGCTGTCGTCTGCTTTGCTGATTAGCTGGCTGCAGGCAGATGTTTTTATTTGGGTTCTCTGCTCTGTTCCATTTGTCTATATCTCTACTTTTATAACCAGCACTGTGCTGTTTTGGTCATTGTAGCCTTGCAGTATAATTTGAAGTCAGATGAAGTGATACAAATTTGTTCTTTTTTGTTAACATTGCTTTGGCTATGTAGGCTTTGTGTTTCCATGTAATTGACATCATATTTAGCAATAGTTTTTATAGGTTAAAGCCTTCTCTTGTTGTTTATCACAGAAGATGTAATCCTCTTGCTTTAGCTTCTCAAGTAGCTGGGACTACAAGGCAAATGAAACAAGGCCCAGCTAATTTTTCTACTTTTAGGAGACACAGGCTCTCACTCTTGCTCAGGCTGGTCTCAAATTCCCAAGCTTAAGTGATCCTCCAGCCTTGGCCTCCCAGAGTGCTAGGATTCTAAGTATGAGCTACCGTGCCTGGCCAAGAGCCACTGCCTTTTCTATATAAAATTATCTAAAATTCTAGCAAGCCTTTTTCTACCCCTTCCATAAAAACTTTGAACTCTGATGCTGGTAAAGGCAGCACAAGCTGGTTTAGTGTAAATGAAAAGAAAGAAAACACGTTCACGTCCTTCATTCAGCACCTGATGAAGGCAGCACAGAAGCTGAGTAAGGTGGCCTCGTGGGTGTTCACTGAAGGGGAGGTGAACACTCATGGGCTGCAGGGTGAGTAGTGTACAGACAGTGGCGGACAGGTTGTAGGTAGGTGCTCCAAAACATTACTTTGTCCCTAGTAATCTGGAAGTAATTCACTGTACCAAATGCAGTTATGGTCTCTTTACTAGATTCTTGTCTTTAGAGGAAAAATAAAGTGATCAGGTTTCTTTTTTTTTTTTTTTTTTTTGAGACGGAGCCTCAAGCTATCCCCCTGGGTAGAGTGCCATGGCATCATAGCTCACAGCAACCTCCAACTCCTGGGCTCAAGCGAGTCTCCTGCCTCAGGCTCCCAAGTAGCTGGGACTACAGGTGCCCGCCACAACGCTTGGCCATTTTTTGGTTGCAGCCATCGTTGTTTGGCAGGCCTGGGCTGGGGATTCGAACCCGCCACCTTAGGTGTATGTGGCTGGCGCCTTAGCCGTTTGAGCCACAGGCGCCGAGCCAAGTGATCAGGTTTCTAAATGAAAATTTGTGTCAATTATTAAAATACTGAGCCCTCTGAGACAATAAATCAGATCTTTTGTTTAGAGTAGGAATGACACAAAGTAGCTGAATGACTTCTGAAAGAAGTTTCTATATAAAGGCCATGTGAAATTTCTTCTTTCTGTAATTTGTTGCTCAGAGTACTTGACTTTGAGAGGGAAATAGCACCAGAAGCACTGGGCAGGTCTCTAACAAACTAGACCAACAGGATCTAAGAGGTAGAATTTCTCTGGATTCCAACTTTTAAATGGCCTAAAAATCGTAAAATATTCTGTAACGTTTTCCCTACAAAATCATTGCAGAAAAAGGTAAATGATTTTTAGTCGTTTTTATTAAAAAAAGTGAAACAAATTAGTTATAAAATCCTTTGCTCCAAATAGATACTATGTATCTTACAAATGTTTTTTGCTTGGTTTTGAATTTTAAAGATTACAGTAAAAATTTCTAATATCATAAATAAATGATTATTCTTCAGAAAGTTGGTTTTTATAGTGCAGTATTTACAAAAACTAAGAAATGACCATTTATAAACGTGTACCTTTTAGGAAAAATGTCTTAACTTTATGTAGTGTTGTTGCTTATCTAATGGCAAATAAAACCATTTGAGGGGATAGTTTTACAATGGTGGTAAGACCTTTAAAACCAACCATGATGTGCATTACACATGTCTCTCTGACATTAACATGCAAAAACAAAGCTATTTGTGAAATACTTATTTTTGCACCAACTAAGTAAATTATGTTATAAAATTCATACTTTTAATATTAAGTTCAATAGCTTTAAAGGCATCTGTTTAAAATGAAAGTAACTTAAAATACTTGACACTGCAACCCAAAGCCAATGGACTACTTTGAAGTCACCTATTTTAGCAAAATATAATGAAAACCAACTTTGAGTTGCAGACTTTGATTTTTCAAATATGAGAAGACTGCCCATGTGTATCAAAGTTTTCCAAAGAAAAGGGAAGACACTAATTTGCTGTTGGTGTCTTCCAAGTCTAGCCACGTTGGAGGTAAACCACCTAGAGAAACAGAAGTGGTAATTCCACTGTGTGTAACATGGGGAAACTCCTTATGCATCCTTTTAACTTAGGAGTTTTTTTCTACCAAGAATCTTAATGCCATATGCAGTAATTTGAAGTAGGCTTCTTATTTCATTAGTGATACTTCAAGAATTCCCATTTATGCCGAACTGTGTAATTCCACTCCAAAATAAATAACAAATCTACAGCATGATCTAATCATGAAGAACAGTTTATCTTAGCAACTCTAGCCCATGTGGGAGTTACAATAAAAAGTGTTCTTACCAATAGCTACTCCTAAAAGGAGCTGCTACTTTTGGTATGTTTTCTATAAAGTTATTTACATCTGTAACAAGGATTCCATTATTTTCAAAGACTTCTCTGGAGATAGTAGGCTTTTCTATAAAAAAGAAAAAAAAGGTTTTAATGTACATTACTATGAAGTATCAGAAACTCTATTAAGTAGAAATCTACATGGAATTCCCTAGTAATGTGGGGAAGAATCTGGTTCAAGGTAAGAAAAGATCTGAACCTCTGGGAACAGTTGCCTCCATGGGGCTGGTGGGAGGGGCACTGAAAACACGCGTGACAACTGCGATCTTTGTCATGAGCCGGGTTCAGATCCACAGAAAACATTAGAAATTACACAAGGATCTATAGAAGCTGATGAGACCACAGAAAAACTACGAGAGGATTCACTAGACCACCCAGCCATGCTCTATGTGTCAGTCGCAGGCAGGGACAGTTGACTTTTCCTGTCCCCAGTCCTAACACTAAAAATTGTGAGCACTGTACTAGGTACTGTGAGCAAGCTATAGAGGTTCGTGTGGGCAGAAGAAAAGTGCTTAGGCTGTGCACAGACACAGAGCTGGCATCTGACAGGTGGCCAGGTTATGGATCAGGTACCTACTCAGATGGACACCCGTAGAACTGACCTATGGTGGGATTCACTGCAAGAATGGGACTCTGCTGTGAGTTACCTGTTAAGAAGACAGCAAACCTGGCGTCGGTCTGCTGAATCTGCAGGTTTATCAAACATTCCAGAACATCTGCTTTTGCTGATGACCGGGAGTCACACTGGTGATAATGAAGCAATCCAACAACATTTGCACTTTGATATGATTTCAGTAGTACACTCTTTTTATGTGCAACTGAATCCACTCTGTGGGAAATATACAGGAATATTAATAACCAAATGTAGTTATTTTTGACAGTTTATTTTTTACTAAATCTTGATTTTCAGTTTCTTGCATTTCCCTTGGCCTTCTGGATCTAACTGTACTGCCAACAGATTGCCTCAAAACAGTACAATACTATTCCTTTTATAGATATGCATTTACAATAAACTGTGCAGGTGTGGCAAACCTTTCATTACTTTCCCCTGGACCTTGCACAGCAGTGAGTCTTTTTTTTTTTTTTTTTTTTTTAAAGACAGAGCCTCAAGCTGTCACCCTGGGTCGAGTGCAGTGGCATCACAGCTCACAGAAACCACCAACTCTCTCGGTCTTAAGTGATTCTCTTGCCTCCGCCTCCCAAGTAGCCAGGACCACAGCCGCCTGACTTTGGGTCGCAGTTGTTGTTATTTCGCAGGATTGGCCTGGATTCAAACCCACCAATTCTGGTGTTTGTGCCTGGCGCCTTACAGCTTGAGCCATAGGCACGGAGCCAACAGCAGTGAGTCTCTTAAAACTCTGACTATTGGCTCGGCGCCTATAGCTCAACCGGC